TGGTTAGACCCGATATGCGGATAGCCGGGCAATCGATGTCACAAATAACTGGTGTTAAGAAACCATTGAGTCATACGAATAGTTTGACAAAATTGCCAAAACATGGCGTCGAAACACCTCATGAGGATGAACTGGACAAATACTACGAAGAGATCGACAAATGGGGTTTAGATATGTTTAAGATCGCTGAATGCGCTAATAAACACCCACTTACTTCTATTATGTACACTATTTTTAAAGTAAGTTTCATTTCTCATTTATTATCTTAATTTTAAGAGATTTGTACCGATATTAATACTACATTCCAAAGTTAATTAGTCTATAAATAACATTTAATTAAACAAAAGATTTTTAGCAAAATAAAGAATTATAAAGTCAGACTTAGTGAACCAGTGAGATTTCTTTTATTTTGTACTTAAATTGCATTTTTAGATCACTGTTTTGATTATACATTAAAATGTAAACTATGTTTGCATAATTCAAATCAATATTTATGCAATAATGTATGATGTATATGGTAAATTTTTTCTTTTTGAATAATATTTTATTTTAATATTTGTATTCTTGAGTTCTAAAGTAAAGTATAATTATTATAGTTTTAGATATACAGTATATGCCGTAAAATGTTCTAGTATATTCTCTATTATATTCTGTTTTTCTATTTAGTACTTACTACTTAATACTTTGTATATTTGCTGCTGAAATGTTTTATATTCTGTAGCGTTATAGTGTATACAAATTCTGTATTACAGAATACTTTCAATTAAAAATTTAAATTGTAATTCAAGTTCTTTTAAATATTTATAGACTACTATTGATTTCTAAAATGCAAAACCTTTTACAACTTTTGATATGATTTAGATATAAATAATTGAGAAGTTAAAATAAATCTATATAAATAATTTAGATGTTTTATTTTTAAATGTTTTATATGGTACAGGTACATTTGATAATTTATTTAAGTTTACTGATGTTTTAGAGTAAATTTTAACATTACTAATGATTTATTGCACCGATTGATAGGCACGTGATTTAATAAAGACATTCAAAATTCCTTCGAAGAAATTCATAAATTTTATGATAACTTTGGAAGAACACTACCTCGACGTTCCCTATCATAATTGGTATTTCATTTATATATCATAATACTTAGCTATGCTGTACAGTCATTCTAGAATCTTACTTTAAAAATTACTTGTTCTCTAATTATGTCTAACTATTATCATAATAGTCTACACGCGGCCGATGTCGTCCAGTCCGTTCACGTCCTACTCTTATCGCCGGCACTTGACGTAAGTCTTCATTATATTTTCATATTTTTCTGAATGGACTTCATATGAAACACAATATAATTCTTTGTAATTGTAGGATTAATATTTAAAATATAATCTAAAATACAAATAGTGATGCTTTTTAAATCTTAATTAATAACTATTAATTAAAATATAAAATAATAGCAAAACTATTTTTATAACAACTCATTAGTTAAAAACAATTGTACTAAACTGATCATAAGCTTAATTTTCACACAAATGAATTCTTATTTTATAAAGATTAGTTCATGAATAATTAAAATTATTCAAATACATTTGCTATATTTATACACTAACAACCTACATCAAGTTTGCGACATGAATATTAATAAATTGAATGCCACTTTGTATGTGCCCATCAGTCTGTTTTCACTGATTTGGAAATCCTAACGGCGCTGTTTGCTGCGGCCATCCACGACGTGGACCACCCGGGAGTGACCAATCAATACCTGATTAACTCGAGCTCAGAGTTGGCGCTCATGTATAACGACGAGTCGGTGCTGGAGAACCACTCGTTGGCGGTTGCCTTCAAAGTGCTCCAACAGGAAGAGACCGATATTTTCGTCAATTTGAGTAAAAAGCAGAGACAAACACTGCGAAAGATGACTATTGATATGGTCTTAGCGACTGATATGTCGAAACACATGAGCTTATTAGCAGATCTCAAGACTATGGTTGAGACAAAGAAAGTGGCCGGAAGTGGAGTACTCCTACTCGACAACTACACCGAACGGATACAAGTGCTTCAAAATATGCTGCATTGCGCCGACTTAAGTAACCCAACCAAACAACTCGAGATATATAAGCAATGGTGTGAACTCGTGATGGAGGAGTTCTTCCAACAGGGAGACAAAGAAAGGTCTCTCGGACTCGACATCAGCCCCATGTGTGACAGATATAACGCCACTATCGAGAAGTCTCAGGTCTGACACCACTTTTTGCCACTGTTATCACCACTTGACACCAAAGCATAGGATATGTGTCTATACTTTCCACTTATTCCACGCCTAACTCATTGCTGTCACTAAATATTAGTGACATCCAAGTGATAAGTCATTGATCGATCACTTTGGTCTACATTTCAGACAATCATTTATCCTTTTTATGATTATCAGCTAATTTCCAAATGTTTTATTTTTAAAATTAAATTAATAATTATTTATGAGTAATCGCAATTTGTATTAATATTTATACAAATTAATGGACACATATTCTTATTATACACTAAAATATATTATTGATTATTATAGTATTTACATAATTAATGAAATTCATGTGTTTTGGTTTAACATATACATTAGATATTTGCCCTTTTAAATTATACAGTATAAATATTATATACAATTTGGCAAGAAAATTCAAAGACTATAAATCTTTGATAAATTAAAGGTATACATTGTAAAGTACACTTGAATTTATACAGTAATATTATATCTAGTATAATTATTTACAATTCAAATTTAGGTATTTTTACTGCCTAGGAATTTATCTTTTAATTTGTATTTTATGCATTAAACCATATACAATGCAATTAAAATGCAAATGATTCATTCAATTCTCTAATCCATTGCTTAATATTAATTACCTACTTAATGAAACTCTAAATTAATTTCACTATTATTATCCAAGTGTTGACAATACTATATATAATATTACCGATGATTTAAAGTGTTATTTCTCATCCCATAAATTGTTACAAACTTTTATGTTGGATGTGAACACAGTATGTGAAGCGACTCTCACTTTGATTATCTCGACTCGTATTCAATACATAGCTATTCAATGGACTGTTGGACCTTTCGGTTGAATTAGCGATCGATAGCTCTGACAATTACTTTCAGTAATACAAGTAGTGATATATTGATGTCAATGCGCCACTAATTTACTATAGAGAGCACCGGTATTCTTCTGTCTAATAATAATATTGTCAATCCTAATGTTTATTGCATTTACTTTATTGACCAATAGATACAATCTCTTGATACAATACTGTATAGTATAAATAATATTAAACTTATTTTTTAATTAAACATACATTTCTTGATCACAATTTTTTATTAGTTATACAACTATTCCCTTAACTCAAACATTTCGAGTGAAAGAAAGAAAGAAAGAGAGAGAGAGAGAGAGAGAGAGAGTTGATTAGAGATGTAATAGTTATCACAAATTGAAGTTTTTATTTGGAAAGAATTTTCTGAATCTTTGATCAAAACTTGTATTATTCCTTCAAATCCTTAATTTAATTGAATTGGAAATGAACTCAGACTTGAAAAGTGTTTGTTTTGTTGGCATAAAATTACCAAAACTCTTCTCTCACATGATTTGCATAATTTGGTCAACAATTCATTTCCAACATATCTTTAAAATGCAATATCAATACACTTTATTTTGTATGCATTTCTTGCATTCACATGAATATAAATTTACACAATAATTGTCTAATATTTGCATTTTGTACAACTCATATGTACTCTTGTAATTGTGCTCTACTTTCAATTACACAAGTCCTTCAATTAATGTGTATAGTTGTTAGTGAATTAAATTTAATAATATTATATTAAATTGTCTAATATTTGCATTTTGTACAACTCATATGTACTCTTGTAATTGTGCTCTACTTTCAATTACACAAGTCCTTCAATTAATGTGTATAGTTGTTAGTGAATTAAATTTAATAATATTATATTTTTGCTAATGATGACAATACTTTTGTTTTATTTTTATAAAATACACAAAGTCCTGCTAAGAAGTGATTTACTATATTTAATAAATTAATTCAATTAAAGTTCCCATAACTTGTTTGTGAAAATAAAATTTGAACGAAAACATGAACTTCATTAATTAAATATTATTAAAAATTTATTATTTTTATTAGTTTAAAATTAATTTTTGACATCTAATTAATTTATTTTTATTATTTTCATTTTAGGTTGGATTTATCGATTATATTGGTATGTATTAGCTTTCTATCATGTTTAATGTACAAAGTACTGTATATCTTAATCGATAATCACTTCAAAAAATATCACTAAATATTTCATAAGTTTTTTACTCCAAAAATATTATTTTAAAATTCTTTATTTGATACGAAAGTCTAGAGAAATTTAATCTCTATATTCAATCATAATAAGCGATATAATTATTAATACAGTANAAAAAATATCACTAAATATTTCATAAGTTTTTTACTCCAAAAATATTATTTTAAAATTCTTTATTTGATACGAAAGTCTAGAGAAATTTAATCTCTATATTCAATCATAATAAGCGATATAATTATTAATACAGTATATGACTAGTGAACGTAAAAAATGTTTGTGAACCATTTTGTGCTTTTTCATCAATTTTCTATTTATTTAGTTTTATTTGCTCTGACTTGTGATGTAAGGCTTATACAGTATTATACACTATATTCGTGTTGGTATGCAATACGTGACACACAGTCGTTGTCTGTAAATCTCCCGATCCATCGCTCATTGAGTCCAATGTGTGGACGAAAACACAATTAAAGCTGTATTTGTTTAACCCTTTAAATGAAGTTTATTATCATAAGACCGGAAATGAATTACTATTTTCACCAATTTATAGATAACCCATAATTTATATAATTATTTTGGAAGGGATTCACGATTTATTACCCATTTTCAAACTATATATTTTATTAAATTAGGCACACATTTATCAAGCTAACTCACCAGTCAAGTTATATTATTTTTCGTCACTATTTATCATTTATCATATGATATCTATATACGATATTTAAATATTTATTATTTATTAATTTTTAATATTCTAGTGGTTGAATTTAAAAATAATAGAAAAATATGTGATTAAATCTGAAAATTTAAATTACTGTACTTGCCTCAACAATTTATAAGTAAAAAAATTGAATATAAAAACACCAAAAATACAGTAATAAAAGCAAATCAATCATTTGGTAGAGAATCTTGAGTTGAATAACATTTAATTTAGTATTAAAAAGATTTGACACACAAATTAAAATTAATTAATAAAACTGTGACATTTGCTACCTATAGTTCACCCGCTATGGGAGACGTGGGGTGACCTGGTACATCCGGACGCTCAAGAGATACTGGACACGTTAGAGGACAACCGTGATTGGTACCACAGTATGATTCCCATGAGTCCGACCGCTCAAGAACTCAGTGCACAGGAGGCGGAGGGTGTGGGACCCGTACGTGACTTAGCGGCCGCCGCAGAGAAAATCAAATTTCAGATCACTTTGGAAGAGCCCGAAGACGAAGAGGAATACGAAGAGTCTGCGGAACAGTTAGAGTAGACGTGATTTGTCGGCCAGTTTTAGGAGAAAATTGATTTATTTTTTAATTGGACGCGAATTTGATATTCAAATTGAATGCAAACCACACGACATACATGTGCTGAGAGGCTGGGATTGAGTGCAATGAACTAATTGGACATTAATTCATAAATGTTATCTTATTTGAAGATTAATATTGAAAATAATAGT